TTTCACATGCAGGAGATTCTAAAATAAGCTGTCTAGACATGGTGCCTGCTTTACCTCTTCTTTCTTTCTTTTCTGCTTTTTTTTTTTTTCTCTTCCCAAGTAGCATGTTCATCCAGCCTCTACATCATTTTATGTTTTTGATAAAAGCATTTTTCCTTAGGAGGTAAACCATTAGTCAACTTTTTAAAAAAAAGTGTATGCAAAGGATATAACAGTAAATAATGAAAAATCTGTCCGGTAACATAAGATACAAACAAAAGATCATTAATGAAATCTAGATCTCAGGGTTTTCCAAGAGAGATTACTTAAGGAGAAAACAAGTTTGTTCAGTGAGTAAAACATTGTTTTATGGGTGGGATAAAGAAAGTAGAAATGCCTCATTTTCTAGTTCAAGGGAATGTCATAGACCAGTAATGGCACAGAGTAAAAAAGGTATTTTTCCTGCTCCTAAAAGATGCCATAAGAAAATTAGCTTCATTAAAGTTTAAATAAACTGGAGTAACAAAGAAACAGAGCTATATAAAAATGTGGTACTGTGGTACAACCTGCAATGAGAAAGAGACTGTTTGAAGGATACGGCGCTGGCTGCTGGTTTTTATGTGTCATGGTGAGGAAGGCCTGGAGGAGATTAGGAAGAAAATTTTTGGTTCAACCAGGTACAAGTGAAAAGGTCGGTGAGAACAGAAAAAAAAAAATCAAATTTTTAGAAAGTTTTTTCTTCTAAAATCAATTCCTTTATAAATTAGTACTTTCTAAACCAAATTTAAATTGTTTTGTCTGATTTCAAGCCATCACTGGCCTCTGTTTCTTTCTCATCAACTACCAGCAACTCCTGCCTCCCTCCTACCGGTAGAAACATCAGCTAATCCTTTGCTTATCAACTTGCATCTCTTTTCAGCATCTTTATTTTATGTATTATTCAACTTATGCATTATTATGTATGCATTATTATTCAAGTTATCGTATATTTATGCATTATTCAGCTTTATTATTATTCAACTTGTTTTCAACTTAATCTTTTTATGTATTATTCTTCCTGCTTGAGGGACAGTAGATTGTGAAAAGCATGGCATTTGTTTTTCTTCACAGAAAGGTCACTTTAAACTATCTCTTCTATATATTCATTTTCAAACTTTTTTTTATAGTATATGAGAACATTAAAAATAGAAACAATATCATTTTTCACCTTAGCATGAAGTCATTTAGACTGTAGACATTCAAAATAAAATTAATACTAGTTTGGTTCATGATTAAAATGTAATAGCTGGAAACTCTACCCTTACTTTTTCCCCAGATAATTGATCTTTTATTTCCCCTTCTAGTCTAGAGAGCATTTTACTTATTTATTTTGAAAGGGGATTCACTTTTGTATCTTCCTAAGTTCTTAGCATAGTGCCTTCTGCGTGATGTGCAGCAGTTTATTTTTATTAATGGGCCAAGAATTAATTTCACTTAATGAGAAAACAAAGACAATTAAGCCTATATTCTAATACTACCATTCTTTACCTGTTTCTAAAGCAAATCCTTTCAGTTTGGTCAGTGAACCTTCCCATTCTTATATTTACTATTATAAGTTACTTTTGTTGTTTAAGAGTTTGTGGTTCCCTTTGCAACTTGAAGAGCAAATTTTATTCTTTTTCTTCTGTGTTGGTCTGTATAATCCTCTATGAAAGTACCATTATTATTAGGTGAATGCCCCAAAAATAATTGAAAAAATAAATGGACTCATCATAATTACTTAGTAAAAGCAAGTGTGTCATTTTGGCTAAGAAAGTGCAAACGCTTTTTTTCTTAAAATTTACATAATTTACCTTAAAAATTACATAATCATCTTCAAGTTTTATATAAACATCCTTAATTTATGTGCCCTTTACAAAAGGAGACCCATGAATCTGTGAGGGTTTAATGGGAAGTCTGATAGTTACAGTAGTTGCAGTTGCCTTAATTAATCCACTTCCCCAGAAACGACAAACCTAGAATGACACTGTTTTGTTTCTCAAGTTGTGGTCACAGTAAATTTTTTTCTTTTTGAGATGGAGTTTTGCTCTTGTTGCCCAGGCTGGAGTGCAATGACACTATCTTTGCTCACTGCAACCTCTGCCTCCAAGGTTCAAGCGATTCTCCTGCCTCAGCCTCCCGAGTAGCTGGGATTACAGGCGCCCACCACCACGCCCAGCTAACTTTTGTATTTTTAGTTTATGTGTGCTGGCCAGGCTAGTCTCAAACTCCTGAGCTCTGGTGATTCACCCACCTCAGCCTCCCAAAGCGCTGGGATTACAGGCATGAGCTACTGCACCTGGCCTAAATTTTTAAATAATGTATAGTTATCCTTTATTATTTATACTATGGAATTTTTGGAAACTTATTTTTACCCAGTTCCATTTTACTTGAAATTTATATTTAAACACAGGTAAAGCAGAAGAATATCAGTAAAAAGTTTCCCCAGTTTCTTTTTCTAACAGTTAATTTTAAATTAAAAACTTGGAATGGAAAGTTGTTGCATCATCTGTAATAAAAAAGGTAGAATAGAGGTTCTTTCCACCTCTAATAATCTGTATGTCTAAGATTTTACATTGATTAGTTAAAAGCCTATATTTGTAGTATTACCTTTTGTAATCACATAGCTCTTAAGCAAAAATAGATATTATTTTTGGCACTTTAAAGATATCTTAGCTGAAATTAGCTTTCTTTGTCTACTTTTGAAACCATAGTTTACGTTTTTTTCCTTTTTTATAGTTGCATTAATTGCTGTGGCTTTATGAACAATTTCTTTCTTATTTTTTTTTTCTTTTTGAAAAAGATATACAGAAATGGTTCTCTGACTCATCAAAGTTCTGATAGGTTCATGACAACCAGTTAGTCACAAACCGTAGCTTATAGCTACAAATATGCCTGGCATTTTTTGCAGACTGTGATGTCTACTGCTTTTACAGTAGCATATTCATCCTTTAAATGCCACCATACTGAAAATGCATATTTAATTTTACAAATGACTTTACCAGAGCTTAGGTAATTTTTCAAATGGTAAAATGTAATGATAGTTTCTTACATTAATAGCACCATAAGCTCTTTGCTCATTTCAAAAAAAAATTCAAATTAAAAATGTAAATTGTGTACATTTTGTATGTGTGATAAAGTGTTGCTTTTTTTTTTCTTTTAATAAAGATTTTTTTTTAAGAGATATATACTGAACTACTTAGAAGCAAAATTATATGCTATCTGGGATTTGCTTCAAAGTACCACAGGGAGAGAAAGTGTAGATGTGGTAAAGATTAAATAAGATTTGTTATGAATTGATCATTGCTGAAGTAGGGTTATGGGTACATGAGGATCCATTACAATTCTGTCTACTCGTGAATATATTTAACATTTTTTAATAATAAAATACAAATTTTGTAGCTCATCTCACTTTTATAACATTTTACTATAAGTTGATAAACTTCCATTAGAGTCAACATCACTCAACCTGTTAAAACCAAGGTATATCTTTTCTACTAATCAGTTTCTTTCTGAACTCCCTATTTATTCCAAACTGCATGGTATAATCTCTTAGTCAACTAAGATGATGACAGTCTACATTAGTTATTAATTTAATTGGGTAAATTCTGTTTAAATATTTATTGCATTAGCTCTATCCTGATTCTTAAGCTCTCATGATCAATCATTTGACAGTGTTAAATATTTACGAAATGAATGAATGAATGAAGCCTGAAATCTCTGAATTATTTTCCTATCACAGCACCTTTTGCAATTCCTTCTTACTTGTCCACATTGCCCCACTAGATTTTAAGCTTTACAGGAGCTGCAAGTGAGTCCAGTTCACCACGGTGTTCGCAGGCTAGTGCAGCATGTGGCATAAATTAGGTCTTGAACAAGTATTTATGGAATAAATGTATTAATGAATCTGTCTTCTGAAGTGGTCTTCGTGATTTCTTTCTCTGTTTTGGCCAGTCTGCCCTCCATTTAGTTTCTGGCGGGATTGCTGTAAACTGTCATTATGGTCATTGTTTGCCTGTCGATAGTGTTTCTCCCATGAGGGTAAGCATTCAGACGTTTGTACAGGAAGCTGGAGACCCGTCATCCTACGAGACCTGCCAGAGGCTTGCTCCTCTTCTTCATCCTTCACCCCTCCACACACTATTCGAACTACTTGTGTATTTTATGCCCTCTTTTTTTCTGAGAATTTCCTCTCTTAGAATGTCATCCCCATTCACATTTTGAAAATGGTGCCAATGGGAAATGCCTTCCTCATCCTGGGGAGGCTGAGATGATCTCTGCCCTGTACATCTCAGCTGGGGACGTATCAGCAAATTCCAAAACTTCCCTGTTCTCAATACACGTTGTACCTCTCGACCGTTTACAACCATTTTCTCCTAATCATTTTCCTCCTCGCCAACAGTGAGCATCCCTAGAGCAGGAATTACTTTTAATTTCTTTAACATCTTAATTTTATCTGGACAATAGAAAAACCCAGTAAATGTTTACAGAATGAGAAAATTAAGGAATGTATTTTTTGCTAAACAAATGAATGAGTTTTCCATAAAAGCTTTGAAATCAGTGGTATAATTACCAGCATCCCCAAAGGTTGTTTTTCACATTTGCACCAGTTGTCCGCTATTCACAGTGTAGTCGCCAGGTTGAAAGACAGTCTCCTAATCATATAAATCTAACAATGAAATGCTGAGGTAAAGAAGGCCTTTGTGTGAACCAAGGGGCTAAAGGAAACAAGACTTTGGGCTTTTTAGAAGTTTAAGATTTAGTTAGTAAGGGGAATAATTCTGATGACAATTTTAATAAAGCCTTCTTCTAGCGTCCACGGAGATTGAACAAATATTTCAGAGCTCCAGCATAGCTAGATCTTTGATACTCAGAATATATTTTGTAAGAGAGCCAAAGTATGAGAATACTAAAATTTGGGAGATTTCTCATTATGATGAAATGAACCTTTGAACTTAAGAAGGTCATACATATAGCCTTGGGTTTTCCTCTCTTTCTTGCAGATATGTCTTCTCCGACTACTATGAAGAAGCCTGAAAAGCCATTGTTCAGCTCTGCATCTCCACAGGATTCTTCCCCAAGACTGAGCACTTTCCCCCAGCATCACCACCCCGGAATACCTGGAGTTGCACACAGTGGTGAGGAGTTTCAAGCATAGAGGAGAATCCTCCGTATTGCCTAGAGGGCCCAATCCCTTAGGGATGGAGCAAACTTTTATAATTATAGCTATGGTGACCATATTTTTCTCAACCAAAAGTGGGAGGGGCACAGTCTCATCAAATATTTTTTCTTCTTGATTTATGGAGAAGATTTTCAAAGTCATACAAGTAAATAATATTTATAATATGTATTTTAAAATTACCTTTATCAAAAAGATTGTTATCAGAAGAATGTGGAAAATATGGGTACACAGCTGTCTTTACTATAGCTTTAGGATTGGTTGTGATATTTTACTAAGGGAAAGATGGAATTTCAATTATGTTGCTGAGTTTAGAGTTTTCTAAAGGCATTAACATATACAGGCACTATTTCTATGAGCATCTAATAAGTAGATGCTATTTTCTACATATAAATCAATATTTATGTGTTTGAGAGTAATCAGAAGATAAAAGGTACTTTTCTTTGACAGTTGTTTTATATGCCCAAATCCTTTAGACTAGTACACTTGATATTATGTCTAATATCTTCATTAGGAAAATGAATCTAATATTTTTACTTTAGCCAACAGCTAATATCAAATCTTTCAAAAATTGAAAATGAGATACAGCTAATAATGAACACTGTATATTTTTACTTACTACTTTTAATTCCTAGAGAGGAGTAGACTGCATTTTAGGTGGAAAAACTTTTATAAAAATATGTTAATAATGAAACTTTTATTGGTTTAAATTTATAGTTAAGCATTTCCTCATCCTTCTAACTAATTGAATCTGGTTTTTAAATCTTTATGCAAGCATTGTAACATTTTTAAAAATAAAGTCCTTATTAGCTTTAGTTTATAAATATATGTTGATATTTTTTGCTGCTATACTTAAAAAATATATGGCCTTTATTGCTATCATTAAAAAATTATGAAATTGAAAGAGTACTATACAAATTCAATGTGGTATAAGGACTTTTACATTTATTACCTATACCATTTAGATAGGTGAAAAAAAATCAATAACTGTAATGTTGAATATTTGGATAAAATTAACTGAGAAGTCGAATCTCCCATTTGTTATGACACCGGATGAAAATATTCTTATTTCTAACATGTGAAAAGAAGTAAACAGTATATTTTTATATCGTGAAACAGGAGAGACCCAGATGAGCCTTCCACCTTGGTCCTTTGCCAGATATTTGTTCAGTATCTGTATGTTACGGCCTGTGGTAGGCACCTCGGTCACAAAAGATAGTTTCTGTCCTTCAAGAGTTCAGGATATAGTAGGGAGAGAGTAGGGGCTGCATCATTGACTGGGTGTCTAATCTGAACATGACTAGATACCTGAAGGAGGATTAGATGCCTGGAAGATATGTGTTTTAAGCTAAAGTGTGATGGCAAAGTTCGCTGGAAGAAGGAACAAACTAGGAAGAAGCGGGGCAATCTGGGAGGCAGAGGGGTGAACTAGAGGAAGAGGGGCAACCTGGGAAGCAGAGGCAACCACATGTGTCAGTGCATTAGAGGCCATTGCAGCAGGGAACTGCCATTTAGCCAAGGATCCACAGATCTCTTCAAGTGGCCAGAGATGAGGCCAAAGAAGTGATCCAGGACATGGTCCCAAAGCACATGAGGCTGTGTGTACTGAAAAAGCTGTTGGGATTTTATTCTGGAAGCAGTAGGAAGCCATTGAAATTTTTTTTTCTTCTTCTTCTTTTTTTTTTTTTTTTTTACTATTTTTTACCACCTACCATATAAAAATTTTTTTAGGAGAGGTACAGGATTATAATGGTATTTTTTAAAAGTCATTCACTTAGCACTATAAAGGATGTATTGGAAGGAGCAAGACTGAAGGAAGGAAGACACTTAAGAAGGCTTTGCAATAATGTATGCAAGAAATACACATATGTGTGTATGTATTTATTTTGTCATAATGAAGGAAAACTTTTTTTTGTCTTGTATTTTGCTTTTCGTATTTTTTAATAAATAAAAATAAGAAAAGCAAAATACAAGACAAAAATTATTGGATCTATTGCTTACCTCTCCCAAAGATAACTTTTTCAGAAGATACAAGAAATTAAGAATGTATATAATAGAGGAAACATAAATTCAGTTTTATAGGCACAACTTTGTTTCCTGAACATCCAGGGCACTGTTTCTGAGCATTCTCTAGATTATTCTTATAATGCAGATTCCTTGGTCTGCACACATAGATCTAGGGAATCAGGACCTCTAGGTGCCTCTCATGAGGCACCAGAATGTATATTTTAAACAAGTGCCTGGGAGACAGGGTCTTACTCTGTCACCCAGGCTGGAGTACAGTGGCATGATCTTGGCTCACTGCAACGTCTGCCTCCCAGGTTCAAGGAGTTCTCCTGCCTCAGCCTCCCGAGTAGCTGAGATTACAGGCACTTACCACCACGCTTGGCTAATATATATATATATTAGTAAAGATGGGGTTTCACCATGTTGGCAAGGCTGATCTCAAACTTCTGACCTTAAGTGATCCACTCCACCCACCTTGACCTCCCAAAGTGCTGGGATTACAGCCATGAGCCACCATGCCCGGGCCGCTTTTCTTATTTTTTAAAAAACTAGAATGGCTTCTATGGAAAAGGTAGTCATTTTTACTCTTAGTTATAGCAGGCCACCTACAGCCCATGCAAGCACAGTGCCAGGTTGCCCATAGACTTGAGTTCAGATTTGATTTCTGCCATTTCAGTTGAAAAGAGATCTCCTCCAGAACTATTAAGGCCAAATTAATCTCAAAACCTAGAGGACCCAAGATGGAACTATGTATATATCTTCCAAGGGTTTGTGTACAGATGTGAGCAAAAATCATGCTTAAAATGAACTGAGATAAAGAGAACTTAGACACTAAGTAAAAGATGCCCAGTTTTTCTTAGAGTTTGTATTTCCTTAAATGATACTTTCAAATGAGTGTACTTCTTAAATAAAGTAATATTTCAGTAAAGAGTTTTGTTTTAAGAAATATGCATTTGTTTTCTGAAATGTGCATACATTTGGTGGAAGATGCTCAAACTTCAGTATGTAGGATGATTACAACGGCACTTGTTTAAAATATACATTCTGGTGCGTCACCAGAGACTCCTAGAGGTCCTGATTCCCTAGGTCTGTGTACAGACCAACAAAGTTGTGACTATAAAATTGAATTTATGTTTCCTTTATTATGTACATTCTTAATTTCTTGTATCTTCTGAAAAAGTTATCTTTAGGAGAGGTAAGCAATATATCCCATAAACAGGCCCTCCCCTCCCCTTGATCACATAGTTAACAAAGTTGGAGATAAATCATTCCAGGTGATTTCTCATTATAGGTTGTGGTTAGAATTTATTTTTTTTCATATTCTTTGCTAAGTTGTCTCATAAAACATTAGACATTTATTATTTCCTGTGATTTGAATTGGAAAATATTAAATAGACATTTACTTTTCAGTTCTACATATATTTGTTGGTGGTTTTAATTTGTACTTCTACGATTATTTATCTCAACATTGTAGAGATAATGATCATACAATTATACCCTTTCCTTATCTTTCAAACTTAAGATTTATATTTCAAAAACTGAAATAAATAAATTATAAGTATACTGATAGTAAAATTGACATCATTCACATTGCATGTGTCTTATATAGCATTTCCCTTTATAAAATTATTATAAAATATGTGATTTATGGGTAAAGTAATATACTTACCTATATGAAAGTTTAAATTAGCATTGCTATGGGTTTTATTATTGGTTTTACCTTAACAATATCTTTTAAACAACATATAGTAAAAGTTAGAGTAGAAAGAAAAATAGTTGCGGAATAGAGGTCTTTTGGTTTTGAAAGAAACATTTTCATTAGGAGAGTTTCCAGCTCTATATTCCAATGTTCATAAGCATTTATATCATAACTAGATCATTATAAATGACATGAGATGATTTTGTATTAGTTATTGTCTTGCCTTCTAAACAACTGCCAGGTAGGATATGTAGGGAAATTATTTATTTGAAATTGAATTTCACTTCTATTTTTAATTTTGGTGGAAAATTTGTCGTTCTTTTGCCCTCTTACTTAATGCTGTGACTTCTGAACTTATGAGATAAAGTGTTGTTTTGTTTTGTTTTTGTTTTTGAGATGGACTCTTGTTCTCTCGCCAGTCTGGAGTGCAGTGGCGCGATCTCAATCTTGGCTCACTGCAACCTCCGTTTCTTGGATTCAAGCAATTCTCTTGCCTCAGCCTCCTGAGTAGCTGAGATTACAGGCAGCCACCACCACGCCCGGTTCATTTTTGTATTTTTAGTAGAGATGGGGGTTTCGCCATGTTGGCCAGGCTGGTCTTGAACTCCTGACCTCAGGTGATCCACCCGCCTTGGCCTCCCAAAGTGCTGGGATTATAGGCGTGAGCCATGGCGCCCAGCCTAAAGATTTTATAATCAAAGAATATGTTTCCAAAAGGAAATAACTTTGCACAAAGAAGTGTTTTATCAAGTATTGACATAACCTATAAAAGAGAAACTTATTTTGTAACCGCTCACGGAGCTAGGAAGCAAGATTGTTAATTTTCTAGAGTGATGTTTTTTCTCTGTGTAGTTAGCAGGACTGGTGTTGAGAATAAAAGTGAAAAAGTAACTGTTATTTTGGGAGAGCTTGGTTAAAATGGGGACGAAAAGGAATGGTTACCAGGTTTATAGTATTGCAGCATTCTTTAGGATCAGAATGGAGCAATAAGGTAACCAGCTAATGAGTCCATCTTTCCTTTTCTGTCTTCTGCAGTCATCTCAACTCGAACTCCACCTCCACCCTCACCGTTGCCATTTCCAACACAAGCTATCCTTCCTCCAGCCCCATCGAGCTACTTTTCTCACCCAACAATCAGATATCCTCCCCACCTGAATCCTCAGGATACTCTGAAGAACTATGTACCTTCTTATGACCCATCCAGTCCGCAAACCAGCCAGGTAAAAATAAGAGAGAAAATAAGATTAGCACCTAAGGGAGATGGGACAGGTTTAATTCTGAGACATGAAGGTTAGTCAGACAGTGTGTCTGGCAGAACGTCAAGCCTTCAAATCCATCTTCAGGAAGTTGCTGGGTGACTCAGTAAGTTTTTATTTAAAAGTGGCTGAATGACAGGTAGGAAGTGTGTTGCCCCAAAGGGTACATTTGTGAAGATGGTTTAATGTTTTTGGATTTTCATTCACTGAAGGGAAAGTTTATGCAGAAAGTACACTGACAGGAAAGCTCTGAGCTGGAGTTCACACTTCTGAAATACCTGGTTTGACACAGATACAAAGTGCTTATTTCAGGAAGGAGTAAGGTATGTGCTAAAATAAACACACACAAAGGAACTTACAGTTGTATTTATAGACCAACTATTAGGTATTAAAATAAGCTTTGGTAATGTAAACATTTTCAGTGTTTGTTGACTACTCGAATATTCTTTGCAGCGACATGACTTAAACATTTAATAATGAATGACATTACTAGAAGTGTCTTTTTTTTTTTTTAAACCTTGTGCAGTGGTTTTGGGGATTCATTGTGTAAGTGTAGTGACTCATGAGCATTTCTCACTCCCCTAGACATGTGGTTTCTTCTACCGAGAGGTCATTTCATGGGGATTTGGTATATGAGGGTTTTCCACAATCAAGTAGACAGTCTGTACCAGAGCTGGGGCTATCAATAATTGTAATATTTTAAACATGTAATTTTGATATTATGATACAGTATTTAGCTTTGCTGCTTTACTGCTAAGACTCCTCTCTACTCCTTATTATGCCTTTTAATATTTTGGAGAATTTTCACAAACTTCTATCATTACTACTATGGAACACTTCCTAAAATGTTAGTAAATAGTGTGTGTCTGTCGATTTATAGTTAGCAGAGAAAGGTGAGAAAAAAAATCACTTTGGTCTTAATTTGTTGAAATGAAACAAAATGGTCCTTTCTGAACTTTTTATTGTGAATAATAAGATATCCAGGACTTTTTGGGTTAAAAAGTTACCATTGCTTTTAGTTCAACTAAGATACTCAACTGAATACTGAATTTTGAATTTGAAGTTAAAATTATTATTTGTATTTAGCAGAAAATGTTAAAATGTAGCACTTTTCATGACTTCAGTACTAAAGACAGCTAAGTAAAACAGTAAGAACTTAGTTTATCAGTTTAGAAATAAAATTTGGTGTCAGCGTATGGATTCAGAAGTCTCAGTTCCATAGAGCATTTTGCTAGACTCAGCTGGGAACAGTGCACACAAGGTCTGATTTTAATTTGTGTAGAATTTCCATGAATAACAAAGTCTAATTAAGACATCCATTAAAAGTCCTTAACATTAATTCAGTGTGGAAAATCTTAGAGTTCCATTGGATTTTTTTTTAACTGATGTCTTAATTAGGCACTGTTAGGGGAAAAATTATGCAAATTAAAATCAGGCCCTTAGTGTTACACATTTCTTTAATTATTCAGTGCTTGTTTTACGTATATTTCAATTTCTTTATAAGTTAAGAGGGCATATTAGGTGATAATCTGCCTATATTGTTCTAAGTTTTTCTTCCCCTCTTCAAGATACATATCACCTTCTAAGAGAAGCATATTACTCTCATCTCAAAAAAAAAAAAAAAAAAAAAACGCAACAAAAAAACTCTCCAGATTTGTTATAATAGGAACCATTTGTAAAGTAGAATAATCCTTTTCTAGTGCTTTTAGCTTTACCTTCAGATAAGACATCTCTGTTTTTCTATCTACGGTATGAAAGTTCATCTATTAACAGCCTTAAAAGATAGACATTTTTAGTGTAGCTTCATCTGTTTGAACCAGTAGAAAACCGAGGAAAAACCCCTCTATTCTTCTGAGTCTCCTGAGTTTTAGGAAAGTTGTCTGCATTAGCTTGTGAATTCTTTCTTTGTCACCTTTATTCTTTTTGAGTGAGAGAAGTGTCTACCAGTTCATGTTGTTCAATTCCAGCAGATGAAGTCTGTAGAATGAGCAGGGTAGGATAATATATTTGGTGGCAGCATTTCTTTGAAATTATTGTCATTCTGCTTTTGTTACAGGTGGGTACTTTCAAACTGTTTTGGTGAACACTGGATATAGAAACATTTTTACCACTGAATATACCATCAATGATAAAATGAGACCTTTGTTCTTTCTTGAGTAAGATGTTTGAAGTTCTTATTTCCAATGTTCAAATAACCAGAAATGGATGGTCTGCTGTAGAAACAAACTGTTTTTCCTCATTTGAAGGAAAAATGGGTCTTTATGGTTAACTGCAGATTTCTTTTTTTTTGAGGAACAGTATATCTGCTTTGATTTTTAACTCCAACTCAAATTCAATTAATTTGCATTTCAAAATAAAATTCCTGGTATTTACCATTTTATCTCTAGAAATGAAATTAGTACTCCTTCACCATTCACCTCTAGTTAGCTGTTCCTTCCCAATATTCTCCATCGCTGCACTGATTTTGATTTTTAAGATAAGCAACTGAGATGCCTTTTCTTCCTCACAGCAATTTTGAGATTAATTGCATTACCGCTGCACCAATTATAGTGAGACAGTCATGCTATTCAATGGAATATTTTGAAGAAAATTAGTTTAAAGGTATAACTCTCCCATAGGTTTCCATATTGGAAAACTCTGGTCAATTTTCCTGACATCAAGTTAAATACTTAGAATTACCCATGATGAATAGTCAGGATATTCAAGAAGTCTATTTTCTTTATAGAGTAAATAATGTGGCCTCTGAGGATCCTAACCAAAGATTTTGTTCATGACTGTAAGTCACAATATTTAAGTGTTATGAACTGTTCATCTTTTTTTCTAAATATATGTCTACTTGTAATTTATATGCAGATATTTAGATAAAGATTCTGCTTCATTGTTTTCTTTGCCTTTAACAGTTTATATTATAAAGACTATATACTTGTGGAGAATAGCCTCGTGGCAGATTGTGATGAATACCATGCAGTGGAGAATTCTAACATGGGTATAATCAAAAATAACATTCTCTGTCTAGAAAAATATATTCCATTATTTCTTCAAAGAGTGTATCCTTAGGATTTTGTTTTCTACCACGGAAACTATTTTTGTACCCAGGGGCTAAAACTCACATAATAATATCTTTTCTATCATTGCCCAGGGGATTTTCTCAGTTAATTCCCACAAATGTCAACAATAAATGTTTTGTGTAACTCTCCATGCACCATAATGGAAGAGTAACTCAAATAACAATGCTCATTTGCTTGTTCTCTGCTTCCCCTCAGTACATTTTAATTTACTTTGGAAATCTTTTATTTGTAGGTGTAAAGATAAATCTAGCTCAGCATTTTATGTCGTATGACCCCTGAAATTTTAGATGCTTTAAATCTCATTCTATCTGTTTTATTAGTAAATCTTCAAAAGTTGAGCATAGATCCTGGAATCTAAATTGCCTAATGTGTGCATCTGAGCACACCTGTGTGAGAGAGCTAGCGTTTTGTATGCAGGAGAATGGCTCTTGACTGTAAATAATGAAAATTCCAGTATTGGATATGTTTGATGTCGAGATATTTTTGTGTCCTTTGTTTCAGTGATGTCATCATGTAGGGGAAAATTGTGTTCTGAAAGCCAAAACTGACTCACTGTAGAAAATGAAGAGCAGAAAATAAGGAAACATTGGGTTCCAACTCTAACTAGTTCAGTAAGGAATTCCATTTTAGCCTTTGGGCTAAGCATTTAAGTCTCCACTTGAGTTTCCTGGCCTACTGCATGAAAGGATCAAGTCTACCTGGCTCTCAGGGGTGCTGTAAAGAGGAATTGTACCACATGCTTTGAAGATGAATACCTTCTTTGAAATGCTGCTGCTCCTTGTTACTACTAACCACTGACCAGCCTCTCCAACTCCGACTGGAGAGGGCCTGTGTGGTGCCTATGTGCAGTGTGCTGGATCCACGGGGTTGTGTGTGCTGAGCGGACTTGTTGGACAAGATGACTGCCTTTGGATTGCTTCACCTGGCATTCTGTTTTTGTTTTGTAGCCTAACAGCAGTGGTCAAGTAGTAGGGAAAGTGCCTGGCCATTTCACTCCTGTCTTGGCACCCTCTCCCCATCCCAGTGCAGTGCGACCTGTGACCCTGAGCATGACAGATACTAAACCCATCACTACATCCACTGAAGGTGAGGCAGCTTCACCTACAGCAACCAGTAAGTATTTCTGTAGGAAATGAGAAATGTCCATCAAAGGCACCATTGGATATCTGATCCAAGGTGGAAAACATGGCAATTTTTCCAGCTACCTGACCAGATGGAGATTTCTCATTTAAGTGGAGCTAGTAGGCATGGATGTGGCCGTGCTATCGCAGGCTCTCTCTTCTCAAATTCCAGTCAGTGCCTCATATTTGAAAAGGGAGAAGCTCATTTGTTTAAGTTACCAGCTATAACAAACATAATAAGTCATGCCTGCTCGTTCAGGGTATACATTGAAATTGCACTGAGCAACATATACAAAGTTTTCATATCACCCAAAGAGAGATTAGATAATTGGTACTTATTGGAGCATTCCTATAGAAATCAAGCCCCCTCACAAAGCAGATGGAATCAGTGCCTCTGTAAGGTAATTGCATGTCTACATTATTGTAGGTTATGTCATTGTTAAAAACAGTCACATAACATTGGAAGCAGATGAGAATATTTCAAAACTTAGTATTAGGCACATGTAAGCTACTTGCACTTTCATTATCTGCAAGCTTTTTTGAAACACCTTTTGATTATTTTGCCTATCATGGTACATCAAATACTGTGCTTTTTAGTGTGGCCATAACATTTTAAATGTCAGAGATTTAGCCAGTGAACCTTCCTAACACATACCAATAAGCCACGATTCCTTTATTGTTTCATATAAAATGCTCAGAAGTGGAGAAGAAATTAATTTTGAGGTGGTTTCACCCAGCTGTCAGCTTCTTAGTTAGTACTGGAGCTAGAATGTACAAATTGGTAAAGTAGAATGATAAAGTTATGGAATTGGTGGAATTTGCATGCGCCTCACCAATTATACAGGTATCTTAAATTCAAATCTTTTACTTTCTTATAGCAAGAAAATCCCCATGATCTTGAAATTTCCATGTGAATCAGAGACAATCAGAGGCACCACTAGCTCTTTCTTGCCCATTGGAAAGATGCCATTTTTTAAAATAGTTTCTAAAAGAGTAGGAAGGAACCCTTTAAGAAAAATGGACAATACTTCGTACAGTGAATTCAGCATTTTTTTTCAAAATTCATGAGCCCCATAAATTAATAAGTTTCTATAGGCTTATAATACCCATCAATAATTCTTAATGCTTAGAACACTTCCCTGAATGCACAGATGGATGCGACCACTGAGGAAAAACTAAAAATTATTTTGTTCTAAAAGTTTGCTATGTGCATTACAGTCACTAAAACACTAAGTACTCATTTTGAAAGTGGTGTCTTGACATCTTTGAGCAATGTCAGCAATTTAAATAAAAGCACATAGGAAACAAAGAATTTTTTTTTAAGTAGTGGAAAGATTATCACAGGATAAATGATCAAAACCAAGTTCTAGAAACTCTGATGCCTACTCTTATGGTGTTATTAATAGAAGAGATTCAGGAGAAGATCAGACCCAAATGATCACAGCTCATTTATGTGAGTACCCTCAGCCTGTTTGTTAATGAATTGTTTTTATACTTACATACAGGTTGTTCAAAAAGGGATCTGATTTGACTAGTAAAATTACAAAATATTCAAAAGGAATATCTTGGTTATATAAAGATGGCTGCATCAGTCCATTTTCCACTCCTACATAAAAGAAACATAGTGAGTAGTTTTTCTTTCCTATCAACAAACTTGTAGCTCCAGCTTCCTAGGCACTACCGGTAATAAAAAAGCTGGTCATTGAATTGATAAGCTAGTAAGGTTGAAGAAAACACAGAAGCCAAGGAAAGCTCTTTCTCACGGTTGAAAAGAAAGAGCAGCATAGATTTGGTGCTCTTCCTGTAAGGGTGAAGCTCCTCTCCAGCTATTTGTGAGGTGTGAGGTGTGGTGAATTCCAGAGGCTTGGAGATTGAGTAGGGGTCACTGGTCGCTAATGGCTGCCTTGCATGGACCATTTTTCAGGAGCAATTAAAATACAAATTGTGAGCATTTTCACTGTTTTTAAAAAGTTGACCTAAAAAAGCTTCCATGGGTCAAATTCTGCAGTCCTTTAAGAGAAAAAGGCAGAATTAATATATTGGTTTCAGAAAGCCAGCCCATTTAAAATGAATGCCTGGATTCCTCATTAATCTGGGGGTTTTAAACCAAACAGTGTAGCTTTCTTCAGAACAATGCAGGTAATACATGGTGATGTGGAGCAGTGGGATTGCTTAGTTCTGGGAAGATACCTTAGTCCTTTCCTTGTGAAAAGTAACAAAAGTCTTTAGGAGTAGCTCCCTATTCATTTTTCATGTGTGTTTGAAAAATTTACTCTATACCAAAAAGCAAAAAGCAGTTGTACAAAAAGTACTTGCACGTGAGACTATAACAATGTAAGGAATAGTTACTACCTCATGGCCAACTATTTAAAAGGGGCATCGGTTCCCTTCCTGGATCAGTTACAAGAAATTGATTTTTGTATGTGTGCTTATGGGAAGTATTTTTTTTTCAAAAACATTGCTATCAGATTTGAGGCCATTTTCACAAGTAAAATACCAAGCTTATTCATTCTACATGATACAGGCTCCTCCGTCATGATAGTGAGATTTAATTTCCTTTTTAGCAAGACTTTTAAACAAGACATTTCCCATCCCATATCATTAAGCACATCTGCTTAAGTTCCATCATTAAAAGCTGTCACTTTTTCTTGATGGACTTTCAGTCTGCTTTACATTTAGAATCATATACCATCATTGATTATTTCATATTAGACAACTAATAGCTGGTGAAAAAGTACATCTAGGTACAGGACCCTTCTATTTAACCAATCCTTAGTACCTCACCAGGACAGTCACTAGAGCATGGAAGTGTGAGGCACCCACACTGAAGTATGAGATCTGCTTTACTGGATAGATTTTTTAGGGGGAATAAACTAGTTGATTTGAAGCCAAGTATCATTTCTTTTCTATCACTTGGTATACACTCAGAAGAGAAATGAAGACACTTTTGGTTACAAATCCCACTTCTCTAGGTTTCTTATACATGGACAGGGTGTTCGTTCTCATAGTTCACAATTTTTATCTTTGTTTTTGTTCTTCCTTAATCAGCCTACACAGCCTCAGGCACATCTCAAGCCAATCGATATGTGGGACTAAGCCCAAGAGACCCATCCTTCCTACATCAGCAACAGGTGGGCAAGTTTCACCCAGGTGTGATGGTGTAGCCACGCTTTCGCTTCCGTGCTTCTCCATGTTGCCTCTCAATCTGGACTCAGAAGGGGGCTCCTGGGGCTTCTGAGACCAAAATTGATCATTTCATTTCCCAGAATTTTTTCTCATTGATCCTTTGTTTCTCACCTCTTTGAGCAGAATTTCTCAAATTGGCTCATGACCTTTTCCATCTCTATAGCATATATTGGTAATATCCACGAGTAATAGCCTTTTAGCCAAAGTGTATTTTTCTCAGTTTCATTGGCTATTGAGAACTTACTGGCCTATAGCTTTCGAAGACAAAAACTGCAAACTGTTTTAAAAGCCAACTAGAATAAAAGCAATATATAATTCAAGTTTGTGAGTGATTTCACATTTTCCATATGTTTCGCTCCTCACGTTTGTATTTTAGTCCAAGATGATGAGTTATGAAGCTAAAATCTCAGGCGACACTTCATTCCTATTTTAATAGCTTTAAATTGGTTTACTGATTTCAGATGTGATAAAAACACTTTTTTTGTTCTGCCTGTCTTACATCCTTTATGTTTCTAGCAGCATTTTAAATTTCACATCTCATTAATGCTGTAAATTTAATGCAAATGAAGTGTTTACCCAAACTGTGAAATTATACAGCCAGGATTAATGGTGGCTTATAAACAGATTAGCCACAGTCAAAAGCATGGACCATACCAATGTAGAAATCCCACGATTCTAGTTATAGGATAACAAAAATAATTCTAAACCGTTCTGAATTTAAATATATTTTATGATGCATATGTTTGCTGCTCTCAAGTTTTGATAGCAGAGCAGTTTGAAATTAACAGTAAGCAAAATATTACATGGGGGAAAATTATGCTATAAGAAACAATGAGGAGCTGTTGTTAACTAACTTGCTCTTTATTTATAAATTGCCTGTGCATATATATGAGTTTTTGTATAGGTAGTAGGATACTTTTGCCCACTTACTTTGTTCTAGATCTGTTCACCTTACATACGCTCATTGTGGCCTACCTCATTGTGCTTGGCATGGAGTTCTCAAGTCCTTTCCAGTTGCAGCCCAAAGGGGCAGACTGCATATTAAAGGTCACCACATGCAGAGCTCAGAGAAAATCATAAAGATGATAGCTTATTCAGGATACTTGATGTTTTGCCAGATTTTAAAAAAGCAAAACAAAACAAACCAAAAGAGTGAAAACTAACTGAAAACATCTGTACACAGTTATGAAAATACCAAATAATAATTAGTGGTTTTGCCAGCCATTGGCTTTTCAACATAATTCTCTGCCATGTTGATTTTTCACCTCTAAAATTGCTATAATATGAAATGAGTTGTAATTACTATAATATGGTTCTATTTGACAAATGTATGTGTTCATTGTGTACTTTTAAAAAAAATACAGGATGTATAGGTTTAGAAACTTGTTCTTTTAAAAACCATTACATATTCTCAGGAATATTTTGTCCTGGGATTTGCATTATTTTTTATAACACATCTCTAATTTCCAGTTAATTTTTAATTCATAAAAACGTGCTTCCATTATTTAAACTGTTAGCCCCAAATGCTAGTTAGAATGCAGTACCAATTCCATGTATTTGGAGGCAGCCTCCCTCCTCCACTACCCTAACCTATGGCAGCTTTAATTTTCTTATCCCTTGTGATTGGCGTTGAAGCCTCATGTAATTATGATTACAAAAGTCCATTAATATAAAAGTTACTTCTCCTTTCACATATCTAAAAATACATCAAGAAAACTTAGTAAGCATCATGAAAATATGAATTTTAATGTAGATAGCATTCTGGCACATCATATTTTTGAAAAACTATGAGTTCTAGAACTATAAACTTTCCAAAGAAGACAGCCACTTATTTAAGTGGACCACGTTGAATCAAGACCACTTAGAATATGAATTCGTTTTTTTCAGTCAACTATGGCTAATGTTTATGGAATGCATGATATCTATAGATCCTTGGAAGCAAAAAAAAATGTGTCCTTTATAGCTGAAAAATGTTAAATATCATGCAGACAGATAGTTTGTCCTCTATGTAATGAAAGAGTTAGTGCTATTTTTTAATTTGAAAAAGCCCATGTATGCCTTATTTCATGAACTCCAGTTTTGAGACATGCAGAAAATACATGTAAATACATATCATGCTATAGTTGTATATTAGTAAACTAAGGCTGCAGTCAAAAGCCTTTCATTTTGGCCTTTCAAATTTTAAAAGAATTACAGAAATGAAGTTTTATGTTTACTATCCAGGAATAAAGGGACAGATATAGTTTAAATGACTTCAGTAAAGTAAAAATTATGCTTTCCTACAGTAGAAATGAGATTGATTTACTATGTCCTTTCATTACTTTACAAAGATTTAAAAGAGACCACTCTTCTAGAGGCAGGTTCTAAATGCATTTGGTTTAAAGCACTCAATGATGAATGGAAAGGAAAATCAAGGAGTACATGAAATAAAGGTAATCAATCATGTTATATTAGCTAGGAGAAATTCAAAATTAGAAAGGCAGTGCTTTAGTTTGAGAGGGTTCTTTTAAACATTCCCCATAGCCTTTAATATACATGACCCTTAAAGAATAAATATTGTCACCAGGTACATTTTTCAGTTCATGGTGGCTGCTTTATAAAGATTTATCCTTTTAGGCTGTGAAAAGTACTGATGTGTAATTTTGAGTGCTTTTTTTTTCTTAGAAAAGAACTTTAATACAGCCTACATAAATTAGAGTTAATGATAAATTTAAAGTTGTTGGGTAATTTTGATTATTTCATAAATAATCTTTCCACAAGATGATACTACAGTGGAGTTTTCAATCAAATTGAGATGAAAAGCTTTATAATATTAAAATGAACCCTGTACTTCACCTGTAAGACTAATACATTCATATTGTCAAATCTGAATACTAGAAGTATACACTTTTATATCATTTGCTTGGTACAGAGACGGTTGTTATTAGTAATTATACATCTTTGTGCTCCTTTTCATAATAGTTGTTACTGATGACACTGGTTGCTAACTGATTGGGAATACTAGTTTATTTTGACTGGAAGGAAGTTCACCTATGGAAAATGTATCTCATTTAAATCTAAAAAAATAAATTCACATAGTCATAAAGAATATTTCCAAAAGGTTCATGTAAACCAGTTGATAATCTGCCATCAAAAATAATCCTCCCTAATCAGTCATAATAGCTCACACCAGCTGATCAATATTTGACTTTAGACTTTTTTCTTTATCTCTTAACACAATCTTGAATACTTTTCAAGTCTAGAACTAGTCTGTCTTTGGGGTTATTGGCTTAGCTATTGCATTTGTTATTGGCTTGGGGGAAATCTGAAAATCAGAACTTCAATTGGAGCTTCATTCTTCTTGAACTTTTCTATTGGAAGATTGTTTTGGTGGCTTGAAGAACTCATGGGTCCTGCTTTAGCAAACTGAACTCATTAGTTCTGCTGAGAAATGTCTTTTTATGATTTGGAACATTTTCAGAAATGTGGAACACCTCCACACTGACTTAACTTCATAGAAGTTTAGTAAAATGCAGTATATCCTTTTCTCTCTCATACTTTATACTTCATCAACACATTGTGCAGATTCATCATGATAGGCCATGAAGGCACCACGTTTCCCAAATTTTATCTGTCTGAGAAAATGGGAACTGTCAATCATAGTGTTGGATGGTACTTAGAAAATACAGAAAGTATTTTATGATCCAGTCTAACAATTTTAGCATAGATAAATAATATGAGGCAACTTACCTGAATTAGCACCAGTTTCTTATCTGGTCAACCTTCTAGTGAGTTGCTAATTTCAGGCCTCTTTCCTTTGCTATTATAGAAATTTTGGTAGTATTAATAGAAGAGAATCTAGCTAATTTGATTATCACCATTATATGTGAGTCTAAGGTCATAATAAAAGCCTAAATTCTTACTATTGTACATCAATTCAACATATATTTAAAAATCTTTTTGTAAGTTGGAAATAAAAGTTGTCAGTAAGAAGTTTCTAGTTTGAAATAAAAGGTCACCATTCAAATAGGCCATTGAAGTCCATATTAACCTTTGATGTATATTTCAGATTTTAATTGAATAAATTAGGAATTCACTTTTGCCTTCCCTAAGTGAGACAGTAAAGTCAAGTAAGTTGTAGTTTATATGAAATTGGCCTTATTTTCATAATCTCAAAATTATAATCTCCTGACTATATATCTTACCTATAATAAGAGCTAATGAATCAGTGGCCCGATCAATTCAGGTCCTTGCATTACGTCTCACAATTGCATGGATTTTATTGGTGCCTGGCCTTCAGCATGTTACATCTCTTGCATGCCTATATAATTCTATTATTTGAATTTCAATTACTGGGCTAGTTTATATTTAAATTGTTTCAATACTTTTCTTATAACACTTTTCTTTTTAAAACTACAATTTGAAAGTACTTCTCATTACACTGAAAGTTTCTGTTGCACAAAATGGCCTTTTTAAGAAATTGCCTCTGTAGGATTTTTTAAAACTAAGATATTAGTTTAAATCTTCTTACAATGTTTGTACTGGCAAATGGCAAAGCCAAAGCTTGGTACTACCACTGGAAAGGTAGTCATTTATTAGAGGCAAGCAATTAAAAGGACACAAGTGGACTATCAACAAACTTTTCAATACAGTCAGGAAGCAGGCTATCAACACTTGGGCTGTTCTTATTGTGTCTGTTATCATAATTGACAGCTTGACGTAAAACGCTATCACATGACTTCTGGGTAGGTATGTAAGTGGATAAGAGGTCACTTTTCACGTATGCTAGCTTGAAAGGAAACACATTTAAAGGAAGTTTCAGTTGAAATAATGGCTATGCAAATGTTTAGCTCTTTGGCTAGTTCTTAAATTCAAAAAATCCTTCCATTGTCTGTCTTTTTCATTCCCTGGTTTGTTCACTTACCTTTGCTGGTTATCAAAGACTAATATCCAGATAAGCTGTTCT